CATGGAAAGAAACCTAAAAACCAATAAATTAAACAATAATTAAATCTTAGTGCATGGAAAACGAATCCTATACATACCAAAGTCCGAATCTCAGTGCCTTAGAATGACCTCGATACCAAAAACTTTAAGTTACTACTTCCATATATGTAATATATTAGTTTGGGGAGAGAGATTGGCAACGAAGAGTAATTCCTGAATTTAACAGCCAAGTTTGTTATCCCTAATCTAAAGAGAGGAATACTTAAATTGTATTAACGACAAAAATTAGCCTCCTCTGAAGATTCATCCCTGAAATAAGTCATCTTTCTGACTTTGTGACAACTGTGTTATCAAAAGTTGAGTGTTTCTTCTGAGAAAAGACATATTTGAAAATAATAAGAACATGTACCTCAACAAAATCGGGAGGTACTTCATCTTTTTACAACAAAAAGAAACATACCAAACCATCGATGATTACCTTCTCAAAAGTTGAAACCAAACTTTTTGATTATAAAAATTGATTAGTGGTGAAAATAGTGAAACCATAAATACAAAAAAAAAAAAAATCAAATTTGTACATATAAACTATAAGATCACCTGTTTATTCATTGAATTAGGTCCAAATTTTCCATACACCAGTTCACATCGTCCCCTCCATACATCCACCCTACAATAAAAAGAAAAATTAAAATTAGGTAGAAGCAAAAAAAAGTTTGAAAAAAAAGAACAAAAAAACAAAGGTTAGTTATGATCTGAAATTGAATACCATGAGCAAGGTATTTATATTGAATAGGAGGCGGTGCATGATTTAGAGTTTCTAAATTTTTCGACGATAAATACAAAAAAAGAAAAGAAAATTTACATATTTTAATAAGCAAATCACTATCATAATAATAAATATTTGTAAAACTGCCATTTATTCATTGTTATCCATGTTTATTTAAAATAATATTTACTTTTTTCGGTAAAAATATAGAATAATAACAACTATTTTAGATTTACTACTATATCTGATACTATCTTATAAAATATATTAAAATTTAAGGAAAAATTTCTTTCTGTTTCAAAAATAAGGCGGAACAATAATATAATTTTTGATTTACAAAAGATAGACATGCATGGTATCCATATGCGTCATGTCACGCTGATCCATATTTTTTTCCAAAACTCGATCTAATTGCTATTATGTGCAAAAATCACCACCGTTCACGTTCATGTTCACGTTAGCACTCCATACCTTAATTCACATGTAAACCTCTCTGCCTATCTCTGACTTCAGCTCTCTCATCTTCGAGTCTCCCCAAGAAAGTTTTGACACCACACCAACATTTCATTCGTCAAAATTAAATCGAGTTTGCACAAGGTTACAACCGATTAATAGGTGGTCTTCTACCTTCTATTTACGATTTTATGCTATGAATATATGTTTTTGTCAGGGTTCAAGTCAATCTCCGGATTAGAGACTTATAATCATCCGACGAACAATACGATGGCGTGATAACCGTTTCTAAATTGGTGGGTTCTCTTTCATTGATCTACATATTATTTTTTTTGTTCGTTTTTTTTTCCAAATATTTAGATTGAAACGACGACGACGAACACGACGATCATACCAAAAATTTCATCTATTCTACATATTATTTTTTTTGTTCGTTTTTTTTTCCAAATATTTAGATTGAAACGACGACGACGAACACGACGATCATACCAAAAATTTCATCTATTCCGGTACGTTTGATCTTTATTTTAATTAGTTTAACAATTAATAGCCGTTTACGATTAATTTCGGATATCTAAATCTTATTAATTTGAGTAAGGTTAGAATAGTATTCTTTTATGTTTATATTAATGCTCCGATTAATAATTTTCGGATATTTGACATTATCATCTTAAATATATCAATATTATAATAAATATTTTCCTTTTCCGATTTTTTTTTTATGGTATAATTCCTTTTCCGATAAATTATGAAACAGATCTGTTTACACAAAAGGTAAAAAAAAACAAACAAAAAAGGAAAAAAAAAAAAAA